CTCTGAGAAATTAATCGATTGTTCTGTTACCCAGTTTAACAAACATAATCATTGAGGGTTAAATGTACGGATCAATGAGAACATCACCAGGAGTACTTTGTTGACAATTCCAAGCAATAGCCTATGATGGAGCAAACACTACTCGTTGGAAGTTTACAAGACTCAGTCAATGAAGGTGATTCACAAGGCATCACTTTTTAATGATTTGTTCACAAATCATCAGGCTGGCATACTAATAACAGGATCCAAATCACTAGGAATTATGCATTACGATGACAAATACAGGGTGTCTCAAACTCATGTACCCAATTTCAAAGCAGTATATTTCACGATAGCAACATGTTACAATTACACAAAAAGTTACAAACGGTTTAATGAGTTATCAAGTTCTACTAACCATTTAATAAATTATCTATCTGCCCTCCACCTGCTGTATGGACAACATCAAGACGATAGTTGAATTTGTCCCAAATGCCTCTCAAAGTGTCTTCTTCCACTGAAGTCACCACTGCCGTGAATCTGTTTTTGAGATCATCCAGATTAGTCACTAACGGTGGTACAAAAATACCACGGTCTTTGACGTATCCCCACAAGAAAAAGTCGCAGGGTGTGATGTCTGGGGATCTTGGGGGCCAAGAGTGTAGCGCCAAGTCTTGGGGTCCCGTGCGACCTATCCAACGTTGAGGCAGTGTGTCTTGGGAATGACTGAGGCTAGGAGTTGTTAGTGCGCTGGGAGAGGCATCTAGCAGTAATTATTTGAAACACTATGCCCCACCCTTTGAAGTGGTAAGAGTTTCATTCATGGGCGGTTCGTGGTTGCAGAGATATAGCGATTTCAAATAGGATCCATCTTTTTAAAACACCCTGTACTATTTCCCCCATTCACATTCATGTGGTCAGAAAGGTGCACCGGCAGGCAATGGCAGAGCATGCATAATTGAGTGTCACACAATTAAGAACTGCAGACGATCAACAGGCTCAAAAAATGTTCACGTCACCATCATCTTCATAGATGTTAATCAAAAATATTACATTGCCGATCCAGGAATGCGAGAAGAAGATTCATCGCCACATCTGCGATAGGCATTGCAAGAAAATATGGTACACAAGTTGAATCGATGCCTGTACAAACATCAGTCATGGCTTCTATAGATTGTCATCAGCCAAATGTGGAAGATGAATACGAAGTCTCTGATAATACTCATTAAATAAGGTGTAAAACAACCAACAACATTCTGAACGAAGCACATTCATTTAAAGCTGAAGAGTTTGCATGGTTCTACCTCTTCCCAAAAAGAATCAATGGACTCAAAGAAGTAAGAGCTGTCAGAATCACTCCATTGGACTCATTTCAATTCAGAATTCTGCATAGTGATACACGATTTCAACGAAACTACTACCTCGTCTACGCATTATCAATGTTCGAGTATTATCGCATCCAATCCAACATCTTACCATGTGGAAAGAAGGTTCAAGAACAAGATGCTAGAGTAGAATATTTTCATCTCTACCTTAACAACCTTCGAGGATCAGCTGCATATTGGCAAACAGCGCTGAATGAATTTATCGGACAAATATGTTCAATAGGACCACCAACATACTTTGCGAGATTCAGTTTCAATGATTTGAATTGCCTTGATATGCGCAAATCACTTTTAGTAGCTGATGAAAGACCCAATAAAGATCCAAATGAACTCAACATATATGCCACACAACAATTGATCGAACAGTATCCTGTCATAGTCACTCGACACTTCATTGTTCGATTGAACGCACCGATGAAATTCTTGACAAATAATCATGAAGTGTTTGGTGGTCATTTGAATCATTTGGCGAGACCCCGGGGTCCCGCAAAAATCAGGTCAATAATTATTTTCAGCCATTCCGCCCAATCTCGTCGCTGAGTTGGACGACGACAGCAACGCACCGCCGGCCCAGACTCGCGCCAACAAGCGCCAGCAGGCGGCAATCGACACGATGGGCACCACCCCACCGGCCAAACGCAAGCCCGGGCGTCCGCCGCAGTCGCGCGCGGCAACAACGCCCTCCGGTCAGCCGTCGATCCTCAGCTTCTTTGCCAAAGCGAGCCCGCCGCCCCCCAGGCAGTGAATTTAACGTGTTTATGTAATTTTTAAACTTTTTACGAAACTTAGTGCCCCGAGTAGCTCTCGACGAGGCCAATCGATTGACCACTAGTTTTGTTGTCGGTAAGGCAAGACTCGTGTCGCTACGCGGTTTTTCCCATCCTGGGGCAATGATGGGACCCCGGGGTCCCGCCAATTGCTTGATATATATTTATTGTTTTATTCTTTCCCTTCTACGTAACTTTACCGGAAGAACCAAGAATAAAAATACGATTACATTTCTAATAATATAGCGCGGCTATTTTTATTTGCTATTAACAATATCATGATGGTTTTTAGTTAGTTGACATAGCTTGATGCATTAGTAACACGTTTGGAATAATTTAACCGATTCCATGCTAAAATTATAGTATTTAGGTTGTGAAGAGTTCCAACAAACTAATAAGAAAGAGCTTCTAGTGTTCCTTTGTAAACTAAAGTCTCACACTATGAAGGCAGTGCTATCTGATTTCACAAAAAGGTAAGGTGTAAGGTCCTAGGCAGTGTAGAATATGCATTATACATAATATCACCTATCAATAATAAAAAGCCTAGTATTAAATTCTTATGGAAAGTTCAACATTCATCTGGAAATCTTGACGAGCAATCTTTACTTATCTAAAGTGAAAACATAACAACATGAGTAATAATTATTTGGAGCAATTGAAACGCACATGTCAACTTGATTATGATACAGAAATTAAAAAATGCACAAAAATCAAAAACATTAACAGAAAAATCCAGGAAAAACTGAAAAAATCTTCCCGAAAAAGCACCGTACACCAACGCTGTGTGCAAAAATCCCAATGGGATGCAAGTCAAACAACAACAACAAGACAACTTTGATTAAAGCCATCATTCTAACTCCGTACTACAACAAAGAAACATGGCCAAATCAAAGAACTGTGACCGAAATTTCACAATAAACGACATAAACAACATGTACCACCAAAACCCTGTAGCATAGCTGGCTGCATGAGTCACTCCACTACAGCAGGAGCATCAGTAGGAGTATCAACATTTTTCAATGCACCTTTGGGATCAGCACACTAAATCAAAAACACAGATCATAATTTACAGCGGTCATCCGGAGCGAAACATTTTATTTTATTTTAGGCCACTGAATAGCAGTGGCAGCTAGGGGTGTACAACTCCTCTAGAGCAGTTTTGAGTGAAGATCTCATAGGTAGTGATTCAAGTTGCAGTTTATTGGCAATAGCTGTCCTGACCCTAGGGGCATCAATAGCAAAGGCCCTTACTCCAGCATTTGTACGGCAATAGGGAATGTGAAGCTGGTAAATGAGTGAAGACCTTAGGTCAAATTTGTTCTTTGAAATAGAGATCCAGCAGGTAGTCTGCGGATTTTTTTGTAAGTACATCGTTAATAAATAAGATCTGGTGCACAAGCCGTCGAACATAAGAAATGTTAAGTTTGACCCAATGTAGAGATCACAGTGGTGAGTCCTGTATAAGCAGTTCAATGTAAATCTTAAGGCGGAGTGATAAATTGAGTCAAGCTTCTTCAGTACAGTACTTGGGGCTGATTTATATACGTTGTCACAGGAATCAAGTAGAGGCAGTATGGTAGCTTTTATCAATTCCAATTGGAACATAGGGGGGAAGCAGTGCTTGGGTCAATACAGAAAACCAATTTTTATTTTTGTCTTTTTACCAATATAATCAATGTGATATTCAAAATTCAGTTTTGAATCCAGGATGACTACAAGATACTTATAGATCTTGACTTGCTCTATTTTATCATTATTTAAGGAATGTAATTGGGGAAAAATTACTTCCTGCTTTAGTCCTGGTGAGAAGCATAGCACCTTGGTTTTGGAGGTATTCAGGACTAGTTTAAGAGCAACTAGCTGATGTTGTAGTTTGTTGAAATCACCCTGGAGCTTGGCAATCACGTCATCCGGAGAGCAGCCAGCATTAATCAGTATCGTGTCATCTGCAAAATATTTACTCTGGAATGATCCAGGTCAGTGCCCAAGTCATTGACATAAAGAGATAACAAGAGGGGGCCGAGGATTGAACCCTGTGGAACTCCTTTTGTTATCTTAACACTGTTTGACCTCCAACCATCTGTGAAGACAGTTTGGGTGCGAGAAAAGAGGTAATTTTGTAACCATTTTACTGCGTTTTCGGAAAAAACGAGGCAACTTAGTTTACTAAGCAGGGTGTTGTGGTCTACTGTATCAAGTTTTTTACAAGTCAAGAAATAGACAGGCACAGTACTGCTTATTATCAAGGCTACTGTCAATGTGATTCAGAGAGTCAAATGTAGCAGATGTGCTGTATTTTTTTCGGAACCCAGATTGTTTTAGATGTAATAGATTGTTGTCGGACAGGAAACTGCTCATTTGGTAGTTCAATAGTTTTTCAAAAATTTTCATCAACGGGGACAATTGAGATAGGTCGGTAGTTATTTGGATCATCTTTAGGGCCCCTTTGTGAAGTGGATAAACATAGGAATGTTTCCATTCTAGAGGTACTGAAGCTTCTTTGAATGACAGGTTGAAAATATGGGCTATAGGTTTGTATTAGGTGACCAACAGTTAGTAGAGCAAAGACGGGAATACTATCTGCTCCAGTAGAGTAGGACCCTTTGAGGTAGGATAGTTGTTTCAGAACATTACTTTCGTGTATTGGCTGGAAACTACATTCGTTTAATGTTCGGACAGGGGTGTAGGAATTTGCATGAGCAGGGGTGACTCCCAATACATTTTCAAAAAGGTTACCAGCTTCAGAAAAATTAAGGTTAAAATTGTCAACAATTTTTTTGGGATCTCAAAAATATTCCCCATTTCGGTTAAGCTCAACCGGCAGATGATCTGTTTTGGATGCCTTTTTGATACATTTGATTGTTTTCCAGTCGAGGGAGATAACATACCCAGGTTAGAGAGAGATAGATGCATCCACCAAATATACAGCAGCCTTGACCTGGAAGCACTTACTCTGAGTCAATTCCATCGTCACGCACGAGTCTTGCCCTGCTGCACACGTGGTAAATGTTGATTCAGGAATCCCCAAATCAAGACTTCCAATGGTGCAGCTAAGCCGTCCTGCGAAATTGTACAAAGGACGCATATTAGTATTTAAACTCAACCATTTTTTTTTTTACCAGGTGTAAGGCCCCACTGAGCTGTTACGTTGTAGCTCTTTTTCAGAAGCGACCTGGCCATCACAAATGATAGCAACTCAGTGAAGTGACTGATATGATCACGTGGAAATTTACATCAGCAAAATACTCTAAACCCGTTTTTCTAAATGTGAAGGGATAAACCGGAGGACCCGGCTTAAAAATCCATGCGACCACCACGGGGGATAGAGAGACGCAAACTCCACGTATAACAGCAGCATGCATCGTCTGGGTCGAACTTCACGAACCTCCTGCATACCACGCGAGATAGTTAACATCTCCACGGGTAGAGAGACACCTGTAGCCGGAATGGGCTTATTGTAACGAATCACACGTATAATTACGGAGTTAATGATGACCATGGATTGGGCCCTTAGACTCACGTGACTGCACAGTACACCACGCCCACCAGTGGAGTAATCAATTCAGGGTACGGGGAATCTATTTAGATTCGGATGGACACTGTCCAGGTAACACACACACACACTTTTACAGCTCCGCTAAAACATAGCTATATATAACTATTTAATAATTACGGTTGGACTCTATCTTAGTCCAACCGTTGCGCTAATCGGAGGTGTGGGGGGTAGTGTAGTGTATAGTAGTACATTCTAGTGTATAGTAGTCTCTAGTGTAGTGTATAGTCTTGTCAATTGCGGTGTTCTTCAGGAACATTACTACCGCAACACAAGAGAAAATACTATACTAGCTAAATGAGCGCAAACGTATAGCCGGGGAGTGGAGTGAAAAACGTCACCTTCGACGCTCATAGCGAGCCAGATGACAGCCGCCAGAACATGAATCAGGGTAATGTCCATGCTGCTCCACCTGGCAAAATACAAAAACACGCACCACGGTCATCTGGGCAGCAGCGTCTTTTGGCTAACCATGGAAAAAAGATGGTGGTCACCGCATTATCGCGGCGCTTTCAGATTGTGCTGCTTCTGCGGCCGTCTGGAACGCTCTTCCGTCCGATATTAGGAAGCCACTGGCAGCCATGCAACTTTTTAAATCATCATCATCTAGGTTGACAATCTTACTTCTTTAGAACTGCTGCTCGTTGTGTTTAGTTTGCTGTCCTTCCCTCGCACCTCTGATTAGCTTCATATGGTGCTAAAAAAGTTAAACATACATACACCACTATACACTACACCATTCCACACTACACACCTATACACTATACTATTCTACACCATACACTCCACCACTATACACTACACGACTATACATTATACGACTAGAGTACACACTACACTACTATACAGTAAACACTACACTACTATACTATAGTACTATATAGTACACTCATGCACTTCACAAATATACACTATGCTATACACACCACATAATACACTACACTATTATACAATACACTACTCTACACCACTATACTAAATTGAAGTCGCGGGGCATGGAGGGAGGGGGGTAAGGTGAGTGTGGGGGCGGGGTGGGGGCTGTGAGGAGAGGTTGTAAAACCGAGGGTGCACTGGGAGGCAACGGGTGGTGCCGAGACTGAGGCTTTGTGATGTAGATGGGGGAAGTAAATAAGCAAGCTAGGATTAAGCCGCCTTTTGCTATGCTGCCGGGTGGGTAAGTTAGAAAAGTGCAGGCTAACAATGTAAGGAGTTCAAACTGAAATGTGGAAGCTAAAAAACAACTTGTGGTAAACACTACTATGGCGATGGTAGTGTGTAAAACTGGGGGTATCAGACTGGGTATATAGGTATGTTTATGAAAATACATTTAAACTGGCTGTCTGGCAGTAAAATGCCCGGTAGCTAAAGTTTGACTTGGTTAATTACATCTTTCCAATGATTGCTCAATTTTAATCCATCATCTTGGTTGAAGTTATGTCTATGTTTGTATATCTGGATGGCTTCATGGACAAATATTTGCTATGTATGGCAATGTAAGGCATTACCAAAAAGATTTCCAAAATTCGAAACAAACACAAGATCCAGGTCCAATTCAGTACAGTACACAAGATCCGTGATCTTCTTTGGTTCTTTCGGTAAAGTCACGTAGAATGAGAATAAAATAATAAATTGATAAAATAAAATAACACCTTAAAATTCTCACGACGTTTCGGCCACAACACAAGCGGCCTTCATCAGGTGAAGGAACGAGACTGTCTGGAGGACAGCGCTGGAGCAAACACAGCCAAGCTCAGACCGCGACCTTTAAGCTGTGTGAGAAGAAACAGAGCCCCTTGACAAAGGAATTAGCATAGAATTTAGCCTTGAAATAGCTGAGTGATTAGCTTGTGACTGCTCACAGAAATGGCTATGTTAAAGTCAAAGCATACACATCCACAGAGGCACTCCTTGACAAAGGAATTAGCATAGAATTTAGCATTGAAATAGCTGAGTGATTAGCTTGTGACTGGTCACAGAAATGGCTGTGTTAAAGTCGAAGCATACACATTCACAGAGGCACCTAGTGCAAATCAAACAGGAGAATTTAGCATTGAAATAACTGAGGGATTAGCTTGTGACTTGTCATAGAAGTAGTTATGTTAAAGTCAAAGCCTACACATCTACCGAGGCACCTAGTACAAATCAAACAGGATAAATTAGCATTGAAATAACTGAGTGATTAGCTTGCGACTGGTCACAGAAATGGCTATGTTAAAGTCAAAGCATACACATTCACAGAGGCACCTAGTACAAATCAAACAGGAGTATTTAGCATTGAAATAACTGAGGGATTAGCTTGTGACTTGTCATAGAAGTAGTTATGTTAAAGTCAAAGCCTACACATCTACCGAGGCACCTAGTACAAATCAAACAGGAGAAATTAGCATTGAAATAACTGAGTGATTAGCTTGCGACTGGTCACAGAAATGGCTATGTTAAAGTCAAAGCCTACACATCTGAGCTATTAACAGTAACTGGGTATACACTTAACTATATAATGAATACTATATAGTAAACCAATAAAAAACTAAAATATAAATTACCTCAATGTTATCAATAAACTATATATTCTCCAATCAGCTAAACTAACAACAATAAGTCGTTATATATCACAATGCTATATGGCGAAAAAATGGGTGGATTCTTACCCTCAACTTTAGCACCACGGATAGCTATGAGCCCCGTTCAGACGGACGAGTTCATCCATGGTCGGAACGGAGGAGGGAAAGAGAGACAGCTGCGAGGCGCTGTTAAACTCCATGTTGTAAACCATACCATTAACCGTGGTGTGAGAGGTATTAAGAGTCAATGCCAGCGAAAGAGCTGCGGTCTGAAGGTCATCGTAACATACAATTAAGAACGGAAATGGTTTAAAACATCTTTCCAATGGTTACTAAGCCAGAATTCATCTTCTCGGTTGAAATTTTCTCTGTGCTTGTATATGTGAATGGCCTCATGAACGAATCTCTCATGGTAGCCGGTTGGTTTGCAAAGAACCTCCGTCTTGGAGAAGGCAATGTCACGTGGTTCAATGAGCCACTCTGTCTACAGGAAAGCTACCCATACAGATGCTTACTTGAAACCGGATTCCCACCACCATCCATCCCAGAAGAACTCCCTCATGAAGACTCTATACCATAGAGCCCAATGCATTTCCGACCAGGAACACATTACCAGTAAACTCAAGCACGTACACCAGGCTCTCAAGGCTAATGGTTACTCCGACTACACAATCCGCAAAGCCATCACTCCAGTCATGAAGAAGGATCCTCTTGTGGAGCCACGCAAAACCATCAGCTTACCCTACATTGCAGGGGTCACTAAAAATATCTCCAAAATCCTGAATAAACACAAGATCCAGGTCCGATGCAAAACAGTACATAAAATCCGTGATCTGGTTCCATCTGTAAAAGATGCTGTTCCAGACATACAGTACCCGGGCGTTTACAAACTAAAGTGCCTCTGTGGTAGTAGCTACATTGGAGAAACCAAACGACATATCTCGGACCGCATCCGCGAACATAAAGCAGACTTGAAACACGGTAGAACGAACTCCTCTGCCGTGGCAGATCACTGTTATAATTCATTGGGCTCACATGACATTGACTTCTCCAAGACGGAGGTTCTTTGCAAACCAACCGGCTACCATGAGAGATTCGTTCATGAGGCCATTCACATATACAAGCACATAGACAATTTCAACCGAGAAGATGGATTCTGGCTTAGTAACCATTGGAAAGATGTTTTAAACCATTTCCGTTCTTAATTAATTGTATTTTACGATGAACTTCAGACCGCAGCTCTTTCGCTGGCATTGAGTCTTAATACCTCTCACACCACGGTTAATGGTATGGTTTACAACATGGAGTATAACAACGCCTCGCAGCTGTCTCTCTCTCCCTCCTCCGTTCCGACCGTGGATGAACTCGTCCGTCTGAACGGGGCTCGTAGCTATCCGTGGTGCTAAAGTTGAGGGTAAGAATCCACCCATTTTTTCGCCATATAGCATTGTGATATATAACGACTTATTGTTGTTAGCTTAGCTGATTGGAGAATATATAGAGTTTATTGATAACATTGAGGTAATTTATATTTAACATTTTTATTGGTTTACTATATAGTATTCGTTATATATTGTATTGTATACCCAGTTACTGTGAATAGCTCAGATGTGTAGGCCTTAACTTCAACATAGCCATTTCTGTGACCGGTCACAAGCTAATCACTCAGTTATTTCAATGCTAAATTCTCCTTTTTGATTTGTACTAGGTGCCTCGGTAGATGTGTAGGCTTTGACTTTAACACAACTATTTCTATGACCAGTCACAAGCTAATCCCTCAGTTATTTCAATGCCAAATTATCCTCTTCTTTGGTTCTTTCGGTAAAGTCACGTAGAATGAGAATAAAATAATAAATTGATAAAATAAAATAACACAATAATATTCTCACGACGTTTCGGCCACAACACAAGCGGCCTTCATCAGGTGAAGGGAGCGAGACTGTCTGGTAGGACAGCGCTGGAGTGAGAGAGCCACGTTCAGATCACGGCTTTTAAGCTGTGTGAGAGGAACAAAGAGCCTTGACGAAGGAATTAGCATAAAATTTAGCATTGAAAAGGCTGAATGATTAGCTTGTGACTGGTCACAGAAATAGCTATGTTAAAAGTTAAAGCATACACATCCGCAGAGGCACCCATTGTTAAAAGGAATTAGCATATAATTTAGCATTGAAATAGCTAAATTAAGGCATTCGCTTGTAACTGCTACAGAAATAGTTACGTTGAAGTCAGAGCATACACATTCACCGAGGCACTTAGTACAAATCAAAACAGGAGAATTTAGCATTGAAATAACTAGGCGAATTTAGCATTGAAATAACTGGGTGATTTGCTAGTGACTGGTCACAGAAATGACTACATATCTGAGCTATTCACAGTACTATATAGTGAACCAATAAAAACTAAAATATAAATTACCTTCATGTTATCAATAAACTCTATATTCTCCAATCAGCTAAGCTACCAACCATAAGTCGTTATATATCACAATGCTATATGGCGAAAAAATGGGTGGATTCTTACCCTCAAATTTCCGTACCACGGATAGCTACGGGCCCCGTTCAGACGGACGAGTTCGTCCATGGTCGGAACAGAGGAGGGGGAGAGAGACAGATGCGAAGCCCTAGTATACTCCATGTTGTAAACCATACCATTAACCGTGGTGTGAGAGGTATTAAGAGGCAATGCTGGCGAAAGAGCTGCGGTCTGAAGGTCATCGTAAAATTACAATTAATTAAGAACAGAAATGATTTAACACATCTTTCCAGTGGTTACTAAGCCTGAATCCATCTTCTCGGTTGAAATTGTCTCTGTGCTTGTATATGTGAATGGCCTCATGAACGAATCTCTCATG